AACCAAATTTTCTCCAGATTTTGGTCAATGTTACAAATAAACTTTTTAATCAATATTTTGTATGTTGTCATCACTTGATTGTAAATATATGCAACTTGCAGGATCAACAGCAACTCCTAACCAAGATACAAGCCAAACATCTCATGGAACTGGGTCTCCAGGTAAGGAATGCACCCCATTCCTTATGAAATGTGTATGCAATGTTTTCATTGCTCAAGAAAATCCTCTCTATCTGCAGTTTTTTTCCTGATATTTTGTTCCAATATCATTTGACAGAAATGGTTTTATCTATGCACAAGCATATTTTTCAGTGGACTTCAATATCTCTAAAAATCATTGCCACCTGAGAGAAAAGAACTCATTTTGCTCTTCTCCCTAAATGAAACAAAATTTTCTCCAGATTTTCATGCATGTTATAGAGTAAATTGTAATCAATATTTTGTATGTTGTCATCACCTGATTGTGAATATATGCAAATTGCAGGATCAACAGCAACTCCTAACCAAGATACAAGCCAAACATTTCATGGAACAGCGTCTCCAGGTGAGAAATGCTTATGTTCGTCAATAACAAAATGTTTAAATGGTCTTCTGGGCAAAAAAAAATCTTCAGCATTACCAATCCTCTTTTCCTGAGGATTTTTTCCATTGTATGTTGACAGAAGTGGTTTTTCCTCATTCACACAACCCTTAGTAAATTTGCATTGGAAGCAAATGATATTCTGTATCAATAGCATTCCACAGAAGTTATTTATCTATGCACAGAGCTTATTTTTCATTACCCTTGCATATCTTGAAAAATCATTGCCATCTGAAAAAAAAAGGACTCATTGCGCTCTACTCTCTAAATGAAACCAAATTTTCTCCAGATTTTGGTCAATGTTACAGATAAACTTTTTAATCAATATTTTGTATGTTGTCATCACTTGATTGTAAATATATGCAAATTGCAGGATCAACAGCAACACCTAACCAAGATGCAAGTCAAACATCTCATGGAACTGGGTCTCCAGGTAAGGAATGCACCCCATTCCTTACGAAATGTTAATTCAATGTTTTCATTGCTCAAGAAAATCCTCTCCATCCAGAAGTTTTTTTTTCTCGATAGTTTGTTCCAATAAAGTTTGACAAAAATTGTTTCATCTATGCACAAGCATATTTTTCAGTAGACTTGAATATCTCTAAAAATCTCTGCCACCTGGAAGAAAAGAACTCATTTTTCTCTTCTCCTTAAATGAAACAAAATTTCCTCAAGATTTTGGTCAATGTTACAGAGACACTTTTTAATCAATATTTTGTATGTTGTCATCACATGATTGTGAATATATGCAACTTGCAGGATCAACAGCAACTCCTAACCAAGATACAAGCCAAACATCTCATGGAACTGGGTCTCTAGGTGAGGAATGCTCCCCATTACTTATGGAATGTGTATTCAATGTTTTCATCGCTTAAGAAAATCCTCTCTATCTGCCTGTTTTTTTACCTGATATTTTTTTACAATATCATTTGACAAAAATGGTTTTATCTATGCAAAAGCATATTTCTCAGTAGACTTGAATATCTCTAAAAATCATTGCCACCTGGAAGAAAAGAACTCATTT